GTGTATTCCAGAGTGTAGCTCGGGGTTACCGCTTGTGGTGCTGAAACTTTACCCTAAGCTACACTCGGGAACAGGAGCAGACTGACCATTTGGAAACTGGGGCACTGCCTGAGGGCTCGGGGTCAGTAGGGGGCCCCATGAGATGCCCCTGGTACCTTTTTCATAGGCTTTTTTGAGTTTGGGCAAAGACACAGGGGCTCCATGATCCCCTATTGCCCGGGGGCCCCATGAGTTGTAAGTCCGCCCCTGCTTGGAAATACCTCCAGGGAGGTTAAGAGCCTGGTTAGGGACTAGCCCAATACGTGATGGCAAGAATGGCACCAATATTCATTCTTGGGAATCATGCGATCTGGCTGATAGTAACCAATAGGACGATGACCAACGTGGATATAAATGACAGTGTAGTTTCAAAAGAGCCTTTTTAAACTTTCTCCTCTCCTCTTACGCAGTAAAGCAAGTTTCAGCATGTGAACAGAAACATCCCATAGTGTAAAACCATAAAAAAAACTTTAATGATGGGGAGAGATTATAAGAATAAAACTCACAAGCAAAGTGCCTATAACCTGGAACTCAGTGTATTCAGCCTTGTTGTCTGTGATTGGGAACTAAGATGGCAGCAGTGTTCCAGCATGCGTACCAAAGGGCGGAAATGACGTCAGCAGAAGTTGCATCTTCAAACCTTGACCGGTTTCGATCAATGGATCCTCATCAGAAAGTGGCTTCCTGATGTATACTTATCAAAGTTGCATGAATATTTATTCCTAAGCACAACTGCGCTATATTTTATTTATTGTCACTAGTAAAAAGAAAACTACATTAAAAATAAACTAGGCTTCCCTAAATACAACACCTGACCCACTCAAATCAAAAATCTAAATAGCAGCAAAGAATAGAATACTTTCTGTTTTCATGCAAATTTCACACGAGCAGTCCAAATTAGTTGGACTGAGAGGTTTCATTTTTGCTAAATTTTGCCAATAGCAGAATCAAAAATTTTGCTGACGTCATTTTACTCATCCTTGCTGGCCAGATTTATTGAGAAACAATTCAGTTCTCTCATAAATAGTTAATATTATGTTGTTCTGGTGCACATCTTGCTGTGGGTGTGACTATCTACCTAATCTGTCCTCCCTCTCCTGGACCTCTCCGCGGCCTTCGACACAGTTGACCACCCCCTCCTCCTTAATAAACTACTCTCCCTTGGCATCAGAGATACCGCTCTCTCCTGGTTCTCCTCTTACCTATCCCGGCGCTCCTTCAGCGTTTCCTACAACGGTGCCACCTCCCCTTCCCTCCCCCTCTCTGTTGGGGTCCCCCAGGGCTCCGTCCTTGGACCCCTTCTCTTCTCCATCTACACCTCCTCCCTTGGCAAACTCATACACTCCCACGGCTTCAACTACCACCTCTACGCTGATGACACTCAAATTTACCTCTCCACCCCTCTCCTCACCCCCACATTCTCCGCCCGCATCACTCACCTCCTAAACGACATCTCAGACTGGATGTCGCTCCATTTCCTCAAGCTTAACCTCTCCAAAACCGAGCTTCTCGTCTTCCCCCCCCAGCCCGCGCCCCCCCCCCATCCTATCCATCACTACCAACAACACCACCATCAATCCCGCCCCGCAAGCCAAAGTCCTTGGAGTCATTCTGGACTCAAACCTTTCCTTTCAACCTCATGTCAAATCACTTACAAACACATGCAGGCTCCACCTTTGCAATATCGCCAAAATACGCATCTTCCTTACCCCAGACACCACTAAACTACTCGTACACTCCCTGATTATCTCACGCCTCGACTACTGCAACTCCCTCCTCACCAGCCTACCACAGTGCAGGCTCTCCCCGCTTCAGACCATCCTGAACTCAGCGGCCAGACTCATCCACCTCACCAGCAGCTCCACCTCTGCCACCCCCCTCTGCCTCTCCCTCCACTGGCTCCCCATTGCCCAACGCATTAAATTCAAACTACTCACTTTGACCTACAAAGCCATTCACAACACTGCCCCTACCTACCTCACCGACCTGATTCCCAGGTACCACCCTACCCGTACCCTTCGCTCTTCACAGGACCTCCTTCTATCTTGCTCCCTGGTCTCCTCCTCCCATGCACGACTGCAAGACTTCTCCAGGTCCTCCCCCATCCTCTGGAACTCACTACCCCAATCCATCAGACTGTCACCTTCCCTCCTCACCTTCAGGCGCTCCCTGAAAACCCACCTCTTCAGGGAAGCCTACCCCACCCTCACCTAACAGCCGTTTTCCTTCATTCCTCCTACCATTCCATCCCCCACAGCCACTTCCTCCTGTACCACTACTCCCTCCCTCCTAGATTGTAAGCTCAAAAGAGTAGGGCCCTCTAACCCCTCGTGTGCTGTTTGTAGTTTGCTGTACTGTTTCATGTATTGTCCCCCCCTCTATTGTACAGCGCTGAGCAAATCCGTTGGCGCTATATAAAACTCAATGTAATAATAATAATAATAATAATTTGCAGGGAGCTTTAAATACAGGAGGCAGACAGTTGCCTGGCACTGTCAGGGTGGGAAGATACAAACAGGAGGATGTAGTCAGTGGAAAAACTATGATATCCCCATAGTGGGACCCCTCAAAAGGTCTATGGAGTTGGACTGTTCACCATAACATCTGTAGGGGGGATGTCTTGCTATGGAGAAGGTACAATACTGAGTGAAGGTGCTGAGAAGACTTTGTTGTACTCTTTTGTCAATATGTGGAATTGTGTTACTTTGCTGGACTTTACCGCAAGATTGTTCAAATGCGTCGTGTGGTCTTATCAGAGAGTCCTGTGAAGTGGTTTGTATGGAATATGTTAAACAACAATCCTGCTTAAAGCGGAGTTCCACCCAAAAGGGGAAGTTCCGCTTTAACCACTTCAAGTCCGGATACTTTCACCTCCTTCCTGTCCAGGCCAATTTTCAGCTTTCAGCGCTATCACACTTTGAATGACAATTGCGCGGTCATGCAACACTGTACCCATATGAATTTTTTAGAATTTTTTTGAGACAGATAAAGCTTTATTTTGGTGGTATTTATTCACCGTTGGGATTTTTATTTTTTTTTTTGCTATGTAAATGAAAAAGTCCAAAAATTTTGAAAAAAAAGTTTTTTCTTATAAAATTTTGCAAATAAATAATATTTCATCATAAATCTTGGCCAAAATGTATTCTGTTATCTTTTTAGTAAAAAAAATAACCCAAATTAGTTTATAACCAAAAATTATAATTTTTTAAACATTTTTTTTTATTTTTTTATATTATTATTTATTTATTTACATACTGTCCCCCTAGCAGTACAGTGTCACCATGATGACACTGTACTACTTGTGGGGGGTGATGAAGATGCTCTGCACGGTTACTCCTGAGTTGTCTCCATAGATGGTGCTAGATCAGGAGTCACTGGCAAGGTACGTAACAGGGACATTTTCCCTGCATTGTGGGGCCCAGAAGCCAAAGTGACCTCCGGTCTACGGAGGGCACTAACCCACATGTTGACTAGCATATGTGTTACATATTCCTGTACAGCAGGTAAGACCAAATCTTTCTAATTGAAGGGATGAGGGCACATTCATTGCTGGACTGATAGCAAGTGGTTACTATGCTACCTGGAAAGAGAAAACATTCTTAAGTGAAATTTAGAAGCTGACATTACTGTTCTAAGAATAATTTTTGCTTGGTTGTCTCGTTCTATAATACTCTCTGAGTAGCTGAAAATTGTTAAATGTCTGATTGCAGATTTCTATTTGCTTCTGTTATAGAAATATAACAGAAGCGCCAAAAAGTAATCCCAGGTACAAAGCAAAGTCAGCAGCAAGGGAATCCAAGATAAAAACAGTTCCTCTCCACACTATGGGTTTGGGCACCCTATTTCATTCCTATTGCAGGAGAATGGTGAGCGGGGCTCTTGGCCAGCAGTGCTGGTGGTGAATCAGGGCCCCGCTAACAAATTGTCAGGAGTTTATTAAGACAGATCTATGTAAGCTCCAAGTTGCTTCAGTTGAAGCTTACACAAAGCTGAGCACACTGTGCCCCCCATGTGACTGGGATGAGCCAATCATTAAGCATCAGTTCTATCACATGATGTAAATCACATCTTCCTCCATTTCCCAAAGGTGTAATTTTGCCAATTTGTAGGGCAACTCCAACTGAGCAAATGATGAATGTTTAGTTGGCCCTGTCCACTCCTATCTCCTAGGTATTGGTCAGTGAAGTTGAGCATTAACCATTAGCCGCCCGGCCTATAGCCATTTGGCAGCCGCAAAAATGCTCTAGCTTTCCGGGTGTAGCCATATGGCGTCCTCCCGCACATGCGCAGTTTGCGCGGTTGCAGAGCCGCGCAGCGGCGCGATCTGTCACCGGCCGTGTACCTCCGACACGGCCAATGACAGATCTGAGTACCGGCCCCCCGTTGCCGGTACCATGTGACCTGCTGTTACCAATCACAGCAGGTCACATGACAGTTGTATACAATGGATGGCTTCATTCTTGCCATCCATTGTATACTAGTGTTTAGCTGTGAATGGTCACAGCGATCACATGCACATGTCATGTGATTAGCTGTGGCCAAATCACAGCTAAGCACAAAAAAAAAAACCTGAATGAATCGATTTCATTCAGGTAAATGCTTGCTTATAGCAAAGTAATTCTTTGCTATAAGCAAATCGTGTAAAAAAAAAAAAAAAACTGATCACTTCCCCAAAGTAGTACAATTTACTATGGTAACATTGTACTACTTTTCTTGGTCATAGTAAAATATGAAAAAAAAATCTTTAAAAAAAAAAAAAAAAAATGTAATAAAAAATTAAATATAATAATAATAAAAAAAAATATATATATATATATATTTTTTTTTTTTCATACTGTCACCAGTCAGTGTCCCTGTTCACCGCCATGCCAGTTATATGATGATGCTGTATTGCACTGGTGACAGTATATAAAAAAAAAATAGTGAATATAATTTTTTAAATTTTTTCATTTTCCGAAAAATTATGACAAAAAAACACAACTTCAAAAAACTCATCATTCCTCTTATGAAGTACGTCGGACTGTCTATTCTGCAAAAAGGGGTCATTTGGGGATATCTGTACTGTCCTGACATTTGGGGGATATCTGTACTGTCCTGACATTTGGGGGATATCTGTACTGTCCTGACATTTGGGGGGATATCTGTACTGTTATGACATTTGGGGGATATCTGTCCTGTTCTGACATTTGGGGGATATCTGTACTGTCCTGACATTTGGGGATATCTGGGGATATCTGTACTGTCCTGACATTTGGATGGATATCTGTACTGTTCTGACATTTGGGGGATATCTGTACTGTTCTGACATTTGGGGGATATCTGTACCGTTCTGACATTTGGGGGGTATCTGTACTGTCCTGACATTTGGGGGATATCTGTACTGTTCTGACATTTGGGGGATATCTGTACTGTTCTGACATTCTTGGACCTCAAGAAATTAGATTGGCTGTCAGTACTTCAGGATTGATCAATTTTCAGATCTATACCATAGTGTGTGAAATCTATAACTTTCCTACAGACTAAAAAATACAACCTAATTTGGGTTATTTTCACCAAAGACATGTAGCAGAATACATCTCGGCCTAAATTTATGAACAACAATTATTTATTTGTAAACTTTTATAACAGAAACAAAGAAAAACATGTATTTTTTTAAAAATTTTTGGTCTTTTTTTGTTAATTTAGCAAAAAATAAAAACCCCAGCGGTGATTAAATACCACCAAAAGAAAGCTCTAGTTGTGTGAAGAAAATGATAAAATTTTAGTTTGGGTACAATGTTGTATGACCGCGCAATTGTCATTCAAAGTGTGAGAACGCTGAAACCTGAAAAATGGCCTGGGCAGGAAGAGGGAAAATTGCCCGGTATTGAAATGGTTAAAGTGGAGGTTCAGAATCCCTTTCATTATTATTATTTCAGGTAATTATATAGCGCTGTCAATTTACACAGCGCTTTACACACAAACACACACACATATATATATATATATATATATATATATATATATATATACATATATATTTATTGTGCATTCACATCAGTCCCTAACCCTCGAGGGGCGTACAGTCTAAGGTCCCTAACTTACATTTGTACATACACATACTACTATTATTTATTATTATACAGGATTTATATGGCACCAACAGTTTGCGCAGCGCTTTACAAAATGAAGGCGGACATTACAGTTACAATACAATTTGATACAAGGGAAAGAGAGGGCCCGGCTCGTTAGAGCTTACAATCTAGGAGGAAGGGCTGAGTGATACAAAAGGTAACAGCTGTGGGGGGGAGGAGCTGATGGAGGAAATAAATGGCGGTTTACTAGTTTGAAGAAAGATAGGCTTCTTTAAAGGGAAAGGTTTTCAGGGATCATTTAAAGGTGGATAGATTAGGAGATAGTTGGACAGATTGGGGTAGGGAGTTCCATAGGATGGGAGAAGCTCGGGAGACGTCCTGGAGGTGAGCATGGGAGGAGTTGACACGGGAACTAGAGAGCAGAAGGTCTTGGGAGGATCGAAGAGAGCGGTTTGGTTGATATTTTGAGACCAGGTTGGTGATGTAGCTGAGGGCAGAGTTGAGGATGGCTTTGTAAGTTGTTAGTATTTTCAATTTTATTTGTTGGGTGAGTGGAAGCCAGTGGAGGGATTGGCAGAGGTGGGAGGAGGACACTGAGGGGAAGCCAGTGGAGGAATTGGCAGAGAGGGGTGGAGGACACTGAGTGGAAGCCAGTGGAGGAATTTGGCAGAGAGGGGTGGAGGACACTGAGTGGAAGCCAGTGGACGAATTGGCAAAGAGGGGTGGCGGACACTGAGTGGAAACCAGTGGAGGGATTGGCAGAGAGGGGTGGAGCACACTGAGTGGAAGCCAGTGGAGGGATTGGCAGAGAGGGGTGGAGCACACTGAGTGGAAGCCAGTGGAGGGATTGGCAGAGAGGGGTGGCGGACATTGAGAGGAGGCCAGTGGAGGGGGATTGGCAGAGAGGGGCGGAGGACACTGAGTGGAAACCAGTGGAGGGATTGGCAGAGAGGGGAGGAGCACACTGAGTGGAACCCAGTGGAGGGATTGGCAGAGAGGGGTGGAGCACACTGAGTGGAAGCCAGTGGAGGGATTGGCACACAGGGGTAGTAGACACTGAATGGTTGGTAAGGTGGATGAGCATGGCAGCAGCATTCATGATAGGGCCAATTTAGTTAAAAGCCAATTAACCTACTAGCATGTCTTTGGGGTGTGGGAGGAAAACTGAGTACCCTGAGGAAACCCACGCAGGCACAGGGAGAACATGCATCAGATTTGTACTGCTATGTATTACCCTGTTAGGTAGATTTACCCTCACTTCCTGTCATGGTGACAACAGTTTTGCCAGACAGGAAGTGAGTGAAAATGTTCAATGGAGACACAAACAGAAATGTAAAGTTGATAGAATTGCTAGACTTTCCCCATTCTCCTTAACCCCCCTGGCGGTATTCCTGAGTGTAGCTCGGGGTAGAGTTTCAGTACCAAAAGCGGTAACCCCGAGCTACACTCGGGCTTACCATGCAACGTTGCATAGGGAGTCCCTGCAGTGCTTACCTTGTCCTTCGCTCCTGCGATGTCCCTCCTGCAGCGTCCTCGGCCATCTCCTCCGACTGATGCCGGCATCTGGCTTCCGTGTTCCGGTCCCTGTGACGTCGGGACGTACAGGCGCCGGAACCGGCGGCAAATTTGAAAATTTTAAAAAAATGACATTTTTTTTTAAAACGATTATTTCATAGCAAAACATTACTGTATCAAACCATTTCACATACATTTTGTCCCGAGTGCTTTGTCCGGCGCCCTGCCTGCATTGTTACTGTTCTTTCTGCCTGGAAACTGAGAAACGTCCATGGCGTCCAAAAAGCGTCCCTTTAGGTCAGACGCGGTTTTAGACCGGCTAGAGAACAGCGATAGTAAATCAGAACCACTTGCAGAATTGAGTGATAATGATTCGTGGGGGAAATTCCTCATCAGACACTGAAAACGATTCTGCGACTTTGCTCAGCGATGTGCGAACTTGGCGCTCTATTTCACATTTCAGTGTTTTTGGTTTGATTATATTATTGAATTAAATTTATTATTATTATATTATTATTTTTTATGAGTATTTATTAAATTATAATTTATGATTTCGTGTTTCAAATTTTATCATACCCGGGATGTTTACTAGACTCTTGTTCGGACAGATTTCAGTGAGTTATTCCTAAATATTACAGGCCTACAATAAAAAAAATACATATTTCCATGCAAAAAAAGTATTATTTTGGTACAAATTCCTGATACAATCATACCGCCAGGGAAGTTAGAGAAAAAATATATTTGCATGTGTTGTGGATTTTCCCTTACTTCCTCTTCACCTACCGCTGTTACCAGTGGTGTATGTAGGTTTTGTGCTGCCCTAGGCAACACAAAAAGTTGGCGCCCCCCCCCCCCGCAGAGAGAGCCTGACATTGACCAAGAACACCCCTTCCCCCCACCCCAGAGAGCCTTCCACTACCACTGCCCCCCATACAGTGGCCACCATACCCCATGGCTAGAGAGAGAAAGACACTCAACTTCACAGCTCTGGAAATCCCAAGGAACGAGAGTCGGGCTGTGCATACACCGTCATGAAACCCACAGCCTCTCTTGGAACCCACTAGGTCCCCATGCCGCGTGTGTCCTTTCTTCGGTCCCTTCTTCCAAGGTGCAGTGCTGCCCCCCCTAAAAAATGCCACCTTAGGCAAATGCCTTGTTTGCCTTGTGGTAAATACACCCCTGGCTGTTACCAGAACACCAAGGGGAAATATCTCTATTCACTTTAAAGGACCAAGAGGAAGATTAGAATGTTGGGAGAGTTGGGTTCAAAATTTACTTTTCCAAGCTGAGTATTGCAACTTAACATTTGCAATGTATTTTTATGTATTTTATAAATAGATCGTTGTCATTTTTCTAGTTAATTTTTTTTATCATTTATTTAAACATGAGAACAATTTTCATCATGCCGCGTAAGTCCAACATTTATCACATTTCACCTTCAAAACAATTTGATTAAACAGTGTATTTTTTTTTTTTTTTTTTTTGGTTGCATTTTACAGAACACGTTTTTTTTTAGCAATGCTGATATTCTCTTAGGATCCAGTTTTCTGCTACATGTGTTTTTTTTTTTTTTTTCATTTACATTTTCCAACAAAATGGAGCAAAATAATTCATTCTTCTTTGTTTACCGAGCCCATATGCTATTCAAAATTCATGTTCCACCATTGATTTTGAGCCTAACAGTACACCGCTGTATAATGCGTTTCCTGCTCTGACACAATTTGGAATACCAATTTGTAAGACAGACACATAAAAATGTAATATATTGTATTGAACCAAACTTTCTTTGAAAGTAAGAAGCATGCAACTCTGCATGTTATTACCGCTGCTGGCTGCAGAAGCCTGGGACAAAGTTAACTCAGTCTTAAATCCAATCTTGAGGAAAATAAATGTTCATTCAATTGAGATAAATAGCTGCAGTTTAAATAAATGTCTAACAGGAAAAAAAAATCAATTTATTAGCCAACATTCTGAAATGAAACCAAATTTAAACACTTGTTATCCTGAATATTAGATGTGTTTTTTTTTCAGATATGAAAATTTGTCTAGTATGCACAATATACACAAGACAGATGAGTGAGATTAGTTACCATGATGTATATATAACTTATTAATATTGCCCTGTCAATGTACAGTATCAGGAATGGGGAGGACAGATTGGAAAAAAGTGCTGGATATACAAAAGTTTGTTCAGCTGTAACAAGGGGAAGGGGTTGAAGATCCAAGGTAATCATAAATAATAGATATTGTTAGAATTTGAATAGTAATAAAAAATAATTATTATTATAATAATATATTATATTGGTAATAATAATATTTGTTGTTATTATTATTATTATTTGTAAGAAATAATAGTTATAGCCATAAAACTTGAGCTATTGTTATTTTTTTTTTATTGGAATGAGTAAATGTAGAAAAAATAAATTACATTTTTTTTATCATTGGTTTATCCCGTTGTGAGCAGAGGTCATTAACCACTTCCTGTCCGGACACTTTTACCCCCTTCCTGTCCAGGGCAATTTTCAGCTTTCAGCGCTATCACACTTTGAATGACAATTGCGCGGTCATGCAATACTGTACCCATATGAATTTTTTACCATTTTTTTGAGACAGATAAAGCTTTATTTTGGTGGTATTTATTCACCGCTGGGATTTTTTTTTTTTTTACTATGTAAATGAAAAAGTCCAAAAATTTTGAAAAAAAGTGTTTTTTTTTAATAAAATTTTGCAAATAAATAATATTTCATCCTAAATCTTGGCCAAAATTTATTCCGTTATTTTTTTAGTAAAAAAAAAAAATCCAAATTAGTTTATAACCAAACATTATAATTTTTAAACATTTTTTTTTACATTTTTATTTTATTTTTTTTTATATTATTTTTTATTTTTATTTTTTATTTTTACATACTGTCACCCTAGCAGTACAGTGTCACCATGGTGACACTGTACTACTTGTGGGGGGTGATGAAGATTTTCTTTTTTTTTTTTTACACTGATTGCTTTTACACCCATATAGGATGTAAAAGCAATCATTTCTCTTTCTCTCTGTCTGCATTCTTGCAGTCATTGATAACTACTGAGTGAGCTGTGATTGGTCACAGCTTGTCACATGGTACAAGGCTGTTGTGAATAGCCTTGTACCATGTGACCTCTGTGATCATTCACAGATTTCACACGTAGTAAGCAATGATGTCACAAGTGACATCTTGCTTACTACTTTGCATGTGATCACTGATTCGTCAATCAGTGATCACATGACCGGGACCTCGTACAGAGGTCCCGTCCGACGATCGGTGTTTCACTGTGTCCGGAGGACACAGCGGACACCGAATCGCGGTGGTGCGCGCTCCTAGGGAGCGCGCACAGCTAGAAAAGGCGGGTGCCGTTTAGGAACGGCAACCCGACCTTGGACTGCCACCGCCCTGCCGTTTATAAACAGCAGGCGGACGGCAAGAGGTTAAAACCTAGATATCAGACCGAATTTATCAACGTCACTATGCTTTGGTTAATCTCCTAGATTGTAAGCTCCAAGGAGCAGGGCCCTCGATCCCCTCGTGTATCACATTGTATTGGTATTGTACTGTCGCATGTTCTGTCTCCCTTTACAATGTACAGCGCTGAGCGAACTGTTGGCGCTTTATAAATACTGTCTAATAATAATAATATAACTCATTTATAATATTGTAAACAATTTTATTTCTTTAAATATAATTTTCAAATTTATTAACCACTTCCCGTCCGGACCATGTATATAAACGGCCAGACGAGAGCAGTGCAGGAGCGTGTGGTCGTTTATAAACGTCCTCCCGCTTCCCTGCCTGTGCATGCTGCCTGGGAGCGCGCGGCACTGTGATCCGGTGCCCGCTGTATCCGGAGGACACAGCGGAACACCCGATCGCTGTACGAGACCTCTGTGTGAGGTCCTGATCACATGAATAGTAGTAAGCAAGATGCCACTTCTGACATCATTGCTTACTACTTGTGAAATCTGTGAATGATCACAGAGGTCACATGGTACAGGGCTATTCATAACAGACTTGTACCATGTGACAAGCTGTGACCAATCACAGCTCACACAGTATTTCTCAATGGCTGCAAGAATGCAGCCAGAGAGAAGGAGAAATGATTGTTTTTACAGCCTTTATGCGTGTAAAAGCAATCAGTGTGAAAAAAAAAAAATCTTCGTCACCCCCCACAAGTAGTACAGTGTCACCATAGTGACACTGTACTGCTAAAGTGACAGTATGTAAAAAAAAAAAAACATAAAAAAAAAAATGTCAAAAATCTTTTTGAAAAATTATAATTTTTGGTTATAAACTAATTTGTTTTTTTTTTACTAAAAAGATAGCTGAATACATTTTGGCCAAGATTTATGAAGAAAGATTATTTATTTGCTAAATTTTAAAAGAACAACACTTTTTTTTCAAAATATTTGGACTTTTTTATTTATATAACACCGATCGTCAGACGGGACCTCTGTGCGAGGTCCCGATCATGTGATCACTGATTGGACAATCAGTGATCACATGAAGAGTAGTAAGCAAGATGCCACTTCTGACATCATTGCTTACTACGTGTGAAATCTGTGAATGATCACAGAGGTCACATGGTACAGGGCTATTCACAACAGCCTTGTAGCATGTGACAAGCTCTGACCAATCACAGCTCATACAGTATTTCTCAATGG